ATTTCAGAGCCATGTAAAGGCAGCTTGTAACTGTGTGCTTTTCATGCTTTGCCTCGGTAATGCAAACATACACTGCATATATATGCCTCTCATTTCAATCTTTTTTCGCGCGGCCGGCCTATCCATGGGGAGCAGCCGTGACGACATGTATTAATTAATTTCATATTAACGTGCCTTAATTCGAACACTTAATCTATTTCTATAATTCAATATATAGATAATATATTGGGCATATTGAGCATATTGTAGCATGCCGCATATATATTATCTATATATTTAATTATAGAAATAAATTAAGTTTTCGTAGGCACGTTAATATGAAGAACTGATAGTGGTATGGCCATTGTGTACATGTATGTGTATATATGCACACAACTACTACTCATGCATTCTCTAAAAAAAAACAGGTGTGTTTAGTTCTTTGGGTGTAAAGTTTTTGAAGTATTAAACGTAGACTAATAACAAAACAAATTACAGATTTCGCCTGTAAACTGCGAGACGAATTTATTAAGCCTAATTAATCCATCATTAGCAAATGTTTACTGTAGCATCACGTTGTCAAATCATGGCGTGATTCAAAAGATTCGTCTCGCAATTAACATGTAAACTGTGCAATTGATTTTTTTCCCATATTAATACCCTATATATGTGTGTTTAAACATTTGATGTGACGTTTTTGACCAAAATTTTTTGGGATCTAAACAACACCAAAGATCTTTGGAGGAACATGCGTACACTTGCAAATTAAGGCTGCGTCGTGCAGTATACCATGTGCAAGTTCTCATCAGTCATCAGCATGCATGCAGGCACGGCACAAATATCATATCATCAGTGCAAGTACATGTACAACAATTTATTAACAGAGACCTAGCTATATACTACTAGTAGCTAGCTAGCTGTACGTAGCATAACATGCAATGCAAGGTAAAACAGTAAATTAACTCACAGAAGAAATAACACCAACACCCTCCGTCAAAAACAAAATCTGAAGATATAAATCTGGAATAAATAAATAAAATTTTGAGATAAATGTGGACATATATACTCCCTCCGTCTCAAAAAAAGACAAACCCTGGGTTTCCGTGTCCAACGTGTGACTGTCCGTCTTATATAAATTTTTTTATAATTAGTATTTTCATTGTTGTTAGATGATAAAACATGATTAATACTTTATGCGTGACTTATCTTTTTAATTTTTTTTTATAATTTTTTCAAATAAGACGGACGGTCAAACGTTGGGCACGGAAACACATGGTTTATCTTTTTTTTTTAGACGGAGGGAGTATACCCTTATCATATCGATATTCATCCCAAAATAAAATAACTGAGCGAGTAAGAGCAAGTTTAATAGTATAGCTCACTATTATCTCTAATTTATCTATAGCCAATCTAATAGCTAATTCATACAGTAGTGCTTACTATACTATTAATATACGTTCCCACCTGTCATACACACATTACGTCTTGGAATCCGTGCTGCAGCTAGCTACAGATTTATAGCCCGCTGCTCTTCTCTCTCATCGTTTATCTCATTAAAATATATTTATAGCTAACTAATAGTCTGCTATTGTACATGCTCTAACTAGCTACTTCCTCCATCCCAAAATATAGCTACCTAGTATAGGATAGGACATTACCTAGTACTATGAATCTGGACAGGAGGCTGTCCAGATTCATAGTACTAGATAATGTCCTATTTTGTAGCTACATTTTAAGACGAAGGAAGTAACCGTTTGCAATATGCAAGGTGTGCATACTGCAAACAAAAGATGCAGCACTGATCATAAGTTGCCAGAAGTCAGAAGAGCTGAGCATGCATGATGGATGGATCGATTCGACCGATCATCGGTGTACGTCACCAAGGCTGTGTTTTTTATGTTGGGAATCCTTCCTCCTCGATACATGAAACGTGAGTCACGAATTAACGTATAATTAATTAAATATTAATTTTAAATAACTTAAAAATAGATTATAATGATTTCTAAAGTAATTTTTTTTATAAAAAACACGGTTTGGGTAATGTACGTATGCGTGAAAAAGAAAGGAGATATTAGGAAAGTGTAGTGTAGAACACAACCTAGCTAACCTTTCAAACAACACACACATTGAGATATATATATATATATATATATATATATATATATATATATATATATATATATATATATATATATATATATATATATAAACCCATGCATCTTTCTTTTTCGATTAGTTAAAGCAGACTATAGGCTTGGTTTGGAAAGAAGAAATTCAAGAGGAATTGAATTAAGGGTCGTCACTTTGATTAATTGGTCCAAATGAATGGTAGATTATCTAATTTAATTTGTGATGATATTTTTGAGGTACAAATTAAAACGAATAAAATTAACTATTACAAAGTTAAACAAGTATTTTTTTAAAGTACCCTAAGCAATTTATGTATAAAAAGTTAGCTAAGAGTCATACGAATATAAGTAAGTGAGCCTATACGATAATAATTAATTTGTAAGAGAAAAAACAACTAAGAGAAATCTTGCAAAACTCCTATAAAATTCTTGGGTTCGTCCAAAATTAATGCCCTTAATTCATGTAATGAAATATGTGGACATCTAAAGAAATTAATTCGATCGCGTATATGGTCGTGAGCAATATTGTCTCGCAGTAGCTAGTAGCTAATACATACATATGTTAATTTCTTTAGGATTTTCAAGCGCTGTAAAAACAGTGGACCTATCGCTATAGAATTGTACTTTTTTCATCCCAAAATATAACTACCTAGTAAAAGATGAGATATTACTTAGTGCTCGTAGTACTAAGTAATATCCTATCCTGTATTAGATAGCTACATTTTAGAACGGAGGACTACGTAGAGATGGACGGGCCATATACATAGGCAGGTACGGTGGGCCACCACATGCATTTGCTTTAGAAGGATCCATCTCCATCGCCGGCCTCTTCCCTACCCTTTGTGGGCCCACCCCAACATCAATTGGCTTTGGGGCCCACTGGCCCACGCCACATCATGCCACCCCTACACACAACACGCACTGTTTCACGTCCCCTTTTCTACTATCTTTTTCTTTGTTCTTAAAATTAATCTATCTCTATAGCTAATCTCTCCTTAATTTCACACATTATATATTAATTACAGATTGGATGGACATACCCCATTTACTTGCAAAACTCTCTGCTTTTTTTAGAGAGAGAAAGACTGGAATGTTCAGAGGGAGAGAGAGTGGTGGTCAGTGAGAGAGAGGAGATGGATGGATGCATATGTGTGTTTTGATGTTTTCAGATGTTGGTTTGGTGCAGGGAGAACATGGGGCTCAGATCATGCAGGGCGAGGCCATGCATCTTTGTCTAATGTGCAGAAGCCTACCTACTTTTCTGCTCTATCCGTTTTATAATATAGCAACCTATATCTATATTTCTATATTTCTGAACGAAGGGAGTATCTATGTTAGTATCCTAGCATACAAAGAGCCAATCTTGTGATCATAACTAATTCTACTTCCTCATCCCACAAATTTAGGATTAAAATTTGACCAATGATTTCCCGCGGAATATTTCATTGATATAGCTATAAGCCAATATATTCTATGTGCAGAAAAAGTATAATAAACTATGATTCTTTATGGTATATATACTTCTAAATAAAGTGAGTGTACTTGTATTTTGACTAGCTATTTGTTGGTCAGAATTCACAATCAAAACAGGTATTATTAATGGAGGAAGTGCTATTACAAAGGAAGAAAATTCAATATCTATACAAACGCGCCAAATTATTTAAAATATATATTATACTTTCTCTATAACTATTATTTATTTCTAAAATATAGTATTGCATTTCATATGCATTAATTTGTAGCCTATCATAATATGGCTCCACCACAATGGATAATGTAGATACTAACATGGTAATTAATGATGGAGAGCGAGATCGGCATTTTCTTTTAGCCTGGTTAAAAGGAGCCACCGATTAAATTGGAGGTAACAACTAGTCCTCTTAGTAAATTCGCTCTTATATTTGTTGACGGAGAGAGTACAATATCCTCTCCTAAAGAAAAAAAATCTTCGTTCTTAGCGTCATGTGTGCGTCTTCTTTATAATGGAGAAAAAAAACTAAAACCCAGGAAAAAGGAAGACACAAAAAAAGCCAGATAATTAGGGCCCCTTTGAATCACAGGAATAGAAAAATGGAGGAATAGGAAAAATATAGGATTCTGACAGGAATATAAGTGTAAAACAGAGGATTGCAAAACACAGAAAAAACGTAGGAATGATCGTTTGATTGGACCACAGGAAAAACACAGGAATTTGAGGAGAGATAAGGACTCAAAGGATTTTTTCCATGAGATTTTTTCCATGAGATTCTCCCTCTTGTTAAAATTCCTCCAAAACTTGTATGGGAAGAGGCATTTTATAGAAATTTCATAGGAAATAGGGTTCATTCCTTTGATTCAAAGGACTTTGTAGGAAAAATTTCTATAGAAATAAAATCCTCTAAAATTCATATAAATTTCCTTTGAATCAAAGGGCCTTAAATGGACAGGGAGACAGAAGAGAGCGCGTGAATCGACTCAGCGACCGTTCCTGTAAACATATCATCAGTTTTGTCCCACTGAAATCTGCAGGCACTGTCAAAGGGAAAATTTCATATCGTTTTTTTTTTCCGTAGCAAACTTATCTTGTTCCACGTTTAGAATGTCGATGCAGGGGAGACAGGACTGCCGTGCAACTGATGGTACAAAAGATGGCTGATTTGAAACAGAAACAATTAGTAAAATTATCCAAAATTCTTATCAAACCACACAATTTAGCCAGAAATGCTAATGTTGCTAGAATTACTGACTGATTGCTGCATACGAGATTAGTTGCATTTCACACGTGCATGGAGGGTTGCAGCAGATAAGAGATCGGCAAGCTTAATTGATAACCTAAATGGCAAAATTAATCAGCAAAATTAACCAGTAGTAACCCAAAAGGCCAGGTGCCAACGGCAGACAGAGACAAGCCAGTAGTACACTGAAATTTGCATTGCTTGCTTAAGAGTACATGCCACTTGCTTCGACAATTAGCAGCATCTTACATGTTCCAAGCCAAGTCCCAGGTTTAGCACGAATAGAGTTCCAAGTCCTCGTTACAAATCTAAGAGCAGACATACCGAAATATCTTATGGTTCAAGTAGCTCTCAGTACAAGCATAACTACATGGTATAACAGCATAAACTAAACTAATAAACTATCACCATCGCACGTTACAACAACGATTGTAAACTCACCCAGCCAACAATTTTTACAAGCATCACAAGATGCACTTCGATTGATACAAACCTGAAAAAAATTAATGAACATTCAACAATTGAAAAAAGCTTTTTACAGTTTAGGAGGACAGTATCATGTTGGGTACACGCTCTGAAGAATTGATTTGTGGGTGGATGATTGCAGCTAAACACTTCCACATGTTAAATCCCAACAGTACAATCATCCGATTGACACAGTTGCGATGACATCCTCATATGAAGCTGTTCATACAGAGAACCACAAGGACATGGGAATGATTAGCTTGAAATATTTAGGAGTGTCAATTCACATGCTATTGCAGAATTAAGTTATATTGTTTGTCTAGGCACGCAAATGATACAGGAGACAATCTAACATGAATGTAAATAATATGCAACTGCCATGAATACTATAGAAAAAACAGAAAGGAAATTTCAAATAACTCCTTTAGGAAATGGAAAAGGAAATTTCAAATTAACCTTTAGAAAATGGAAAAGGGGTACACGAACCACTGATGCAGAAAATAAACCCCTACCGGATGCTCTATCTGATGATGGTAAAGGCCAATGTTCTGCTTAAGTAGTACAGTAATATGTTCCTACTCCTAGCATAACCAACCTCAACAAATAATATAAACAGAAAAATAAAATGCCTGGGTATGCACACTATTTTTGCCAATACCTTCAGATCACTCACACTTCCTCAGGACCATCTGGATCCTGAAAATAACATATAAGGTTAAGTTACTTTGCCAGAAGCAAATGATAAGGTTCGGTTATTTAAGTCAGGCTTCATAAACAGCAAGTTCAGGTAAACAGTCAGGAAACATCAAGTAAACTAGGCCCAAGCTCAGATAGTGAGCATTATTTACTTCTACACTGTAAGCTACAAACCAAGGAATGATGGTGCGATAGATGCATCAAAGTTATTCCAAGAGCAATGGAGGATGAGGTTCAATCAATTGTTATCATATTTCAAGATTCCAGTGAATTTTAGAGGAGGGTAAATTGTCTAATTGCTAAGGATTCCTGCATAACATATTGCTGCTAACAGAGGTATATACTAGTTCAGTTACAACTCCTTTTACAGTGAGAATGAGTGCAGGTGCTCATAGGTTCACAAAAACATTTCCTAAGCTCTTGGTCCTCAACTAGAATCGTAAACAAGCACATTAAATCCTAAACATTATGCAAGTTAAACCTTCAATAAAAGAACATCTTAGACATAATCCTGCTAAGAGCCCAGATCAGGAGGTTATACGCAGCCCAATCAGTAAAAACAAAAAAAAGTTTGCGGTTGACACACTCAATGGGGAGCACAAGCAATGTTGCTGACAAGAAGAAAAGACAGGTCCATCCGAACATGTGCTATAACGATGTGGAAAGCTACATTCGGCCAAAAGTTTCTATAGAATGTTGTTCTCCATTACACTTAATGCTACCACCAGGATACAGAAGTACTATTATCCTTTTTTTACATAAAAAAATCAAAGACGGCAATGCTAAACACTATTTTTTATATAAAGTAGAGGAAAGACCTACTGAAATAATAAATATATTTATGATAAAATTGGATTATACAAAAGGTCTGCATGACGTAGAGGATAAAGTGGACAACATCATGGAAACTTCAGGCTATGGTTGCTAGAAATATAGAGAACTAGATGATACCCCGCATGTTGCCACGGTAGATCCAAATGTTAAATAAGAAAAATAGGACATATTTGTAACTTGGTTAATGCTAAGAACATCATACCGGTAAGAAGTCCCAATCTTCCTCTCTCAAATCAAATTCTTCAATAGTTGCATCGGTAAACAATAACTACAACAATACAAAACATATAAAATTGTTTTTCCAGAAATTACACACCCTACACTATGCAAGCCATATGTTGACAAACTCACTGTATGTATTCCATTGCGCTCATTGAAGTCATATATACTTGCTGCGAGATACCTGAACAATGAGATAAATAATCAAGTGGTTATAATGGATCTAATCTCAAAAAGTTAAAAAAGAAAGAAAGAAAGAAAGGGAAATCAACTTCCTCAATCAGATGTACTAAAACATCTTGGAAGTTAAAATAAACTGTGCATCTACTCTCAATGGTTTTGTTAGATGAAGTCAAAACTAGTGATATACATAACCACTTGGAGCCAAAATGTTACTCATAGGCAGCCATGAAAAACTAACCCCATTTCCAACCTTAACACCGAGTTTATCAATCCAGTAGAGAGCAGGTGTTGAATTGGACAACTTATCACATTTTCCCAAATAGTATATGATAACTAGATAGGTAGATTCTCAGATTATAGGAAAAATACATCATCCGATGGTTAGAAGAATCTACAGTTACCAAAGCTTACATGCTGTGACGTCGATGCCACAAACGGACAATCTCCCCAATACAATTCTCCAAATATGTCTTTCTTTTCTTCCGGACATGCTGATCTTGTGACAGATTTCCATTATGAAGTACAATTGAGTTAACAGGCTTTGTGATGCCAAGCATTTTTCGACAGTTTGAAGATCCACAGTGACAATCTTGATCAGCTCCAAATTGGACAAACCTGTAGGTAAAGCCGAGAAATTAAATACCAGGAGTAGTTCCATATACAGAAAATGATGAATCATTATGCCCGAGTGAAATGAAAAGAAGTCAAGGATAGAACTAGAACAAAAATACTTGTAATCATAGGTCAGCTCCTCCCCCGTTTTTATGTCACGAAGAGCAAAAATTCCAACTCTGGTCTCTCCCTCAACAGTCCTGAAACAATATAAATACTAGTCATATATCAGGGTGATGTTAGAAGAACAGCATATATGAATGAGCTGACAAGAGTATAACTTACCATTTCTGCATCTCTGTGTTTGGCTCACAGCTATGATTTATGAAGCGCGACATGTTTCCTTTGTTGGTCGCGTCGATCACCATATTACTACTGACCTCACAAAGATAGAAATTAGTGTCACCCTGCCTCTTCATTTTCCATAGTCTCTGCTCACATGTTCTGTCATCAATAACTACAATATGTTTGCAAGATATGTGGATATTAGTTTTTAGCTCCAAGTTATTGTATATTGTAACAGTTTGAAAAAGATTTACTGGAGGATATGATAGCCCTCCAACCCACAATCTGGATTCTGGACTTTAGTTTGATTACCAATATGTTCAATGTGAGAACTCATATCAATAGATCGAATTATCGATCTATCTATACCTATACTAATCGGACACTCTGAGGAAAATCTCACGTTTAAGCACAGTAGTGGATAAAAATCTGGTCATTAATCTAGGTGGGACTAAACCATGACGACTTGAATTAAAAGAAGAGTCCAAGTGAAGTAAGTTACAACTTGCTTTTTAGTAATTTCTAAATCCATAACTAAATTAACAGGATAGAAGGTTGAGATTCCAAGACAGATACAATATTTATGAATTCTGAGTTTTGGAATTACTAAATATAAAAAAACTCAAATTGCAACTCCAAGACAAGTACAACTTCTATATTAATTCCAAACTTAGAATTTGTTTCATCAAGAACAAATAAGATTAGAACTACGTACAAACAACAAATTTATACTCCCTGTCCCAAAACATAGCCTTGAACTACAAAGGTAGCTATATTTTGGGACAGAATACGACTTACCAAAATTGAATTTTGAGACTTAAACCAGTTACAGCTTTGTATGTAAAGCTTTTATTCATTACTTTCGAATCTCAGTACTACAATTCATATCTTGCAAAAAAAAAAATCAAGGACAAACAAAAATTAAGACTCCGTGACAAGTAAACCATTGTATATATTAATTCTAATTGTTTAATAATTAAAAATGAAAAAAATAAAAAGTAAAAAAATAAGTATTACTGTGGATTCGGTATACTCCCTCCATCCCATAATATAAGTGATTTTGGATGGCTGTAACACATCCTAGTACAATGAATCTGGACAGACCGTCTGTCCAGATTCATTGTACTATGATGTGTCACATCCACCCAATAACCCTTATACTATGGTAAGGAGTGAGTATACTTTTGTATAGAAGTAATAATAAAGTTGAATTGTTTTGATCCTTACGTACTTACAAATAAAGTTTACGTATGTGCACAGGATGTAGAAAACCATACCTTCTCCAACATATTCGATTACAAATTCTCCTTTTTTAATATCTTCCTCAGCTACCACCCCATTGCCACATTTCTCTGTCTAGAAGAAACTGTTAGTCATTTAGGGTATAGATAAAAAGGGATAAATCTGTACTAAATACTAAATACAGTATAGAAACATGGGAAAGTAGATTATGAATGTCAATCATGAGATCACAAAGATATAAAGGAATTTGGATGGCTATGGTACAGGATATGCTGACGATAGAATATGCCTCTATATGAAGGCGATGTTGGAAGGTATACTACAAATTAGTTAATCGCGTATTGTACATAGACATAAGGCCAAACATACAGAAAATATAAAGGGATATGGATATAATGTTTCTAAAATGTCTGATTATTAAGCAAGTAAAAAGGCACTGTATTATGAGTTGTAAATGATAGAACGAGGATTTGAAAATTGTGAAACAAACAGGCCAGACAAATAAGGAGCATGGGCAGCAGGATGAAGAGAATTCCTGACCACACTGACCTAGCACTATTGGGTAAGAAATAACCCATCCCTGTCCTGGTCAAATCCGAAGAAGCATAACAGTGGAATATTCACAGGACACCAAGGAATCATGCTATACTAGGAAGTAGGAATGCATTATGAAACTAGGAGAGCAGACAACCAGATTAATGGATGTTAAAATCATGAAAATCACCATTAAAATCAGGTTGGATTCTGCCTAGGGGGGGGGGGGGGCGTTTTACCTGGTTACCGTACTTGAGGGGTATATAATAGACATTACTTAAGAAGGAATGCCCAAACAAGGAGGTTTATTCCCAATCGTATCGATATTATACGGAAAGTTTTGAAAGAAATTAATAATCTACCATAATCTGATTGAGATCTATCCTACCATAACTGGATTCATAGTTTAAGTTTTTCTTCTCATTTATTTCATATGGCTAACATTTCCTTTATCATTCACAGCGTCCTATACTCGTATACTACTTTATAGTTTCCACGAGAAAAGCTGACATTTTTAACAAGTGTCCTATACTCCTATATTACTTTACAGTTTACACTTTACACAAGAAAAGCTGACATTTTTAACAAGGAACACATAGTTGAAAGACTATTTTTATAACATTTATTGCATCAAAACTTTATTAGCATCAGCTACAGCAATGGCATATTTATCCACAGTCAGCTTAAATGGTAATCTGCCAACTCAACAATGGTAGAAACTTGATTCAATCATACCTTAATTAATTTGGTTTTCCTCAAAGTCCTATGCTGGAACGGTTTGTTAGCACATTTATTCTCACATTTACAGGTCGACGAACAACAAGAGAACAACATCCTGCATCACAAAAATACAGTATTTTAGAATGCCTCAACACTCAATACCAATAAAGTTTACAGGTTATTCTAATAAGAAACTTACCATTTTATTAATGAGGTTAGGTTCAAGACAAAAAAAAAAAAAAGAGCAGACTCAAACACTCTAGGTTGTATCAGTTAGGAATATAAAGTCTTTTGCATATATGGGTTATCCCTTTACATGCTATAGGTTAGAGTCCTAACGCTATATGCACTCTATATATTGCCTCCTTGAGGCTATTATTCAATACGAGCTATATTCATAATAGTATCATGGCTATATGATGGATGCAAGTTGGAGCAGAGAGGGGGGAGAGAGAGATTACCCGCATTGGCAATCTTTGTCACAAGTTGCGGATGATCCAGAAGGGGTACAGGAACAAAAAATGCCATCATCCTCAACGCGTTTCCGAGTAATATAAGCATCTTACGTAGAATTAAGGACAACCGTAATGCTAAATAAAATTTTAGACAAACAGAAATTTTACAGCAGTAAAAGGCAAGTCCTCTGTTTACATTGTGAAATTAAGATGTTCCAGCCATGCAATTGTAAACGAGTAATTGGATGGCTATGTTATAAAAATGAGATTCAACAGATTGGAATATTGAAGATACCATCTTAAGCAATTTTGAAATACAACCCCATGTGAAAACACGTTGTTGAAGCCGTTGTTAAATGCATCCCTGTGACAAGACACATTATTGAAAAAACAAACCACTGACTTTCCTATGCTATATTATACTTTGTAGTACATTAGGATTTAGTAAATTTTCGGATATACAATCAATCTAGAATGCTACAGCAGAGACTGATAAATATACACTCAAGTTTGTAGAATGATTGCTCCAAGGAATGAAATTTTAACCAGAGACATTGCAAGTATAAATGAGGAGGACGCAAATCATTGCTGCTCCGAGAAAGGAAACAGATTAAATGCAATGGTGGGTAAGGATACTCCGCTTAATTGGCACATAGTAATTTGACTTCCATTCTTTCAATACAGGCGGCAGATCAAAGTCCACAGGAGCTTTTATCGCCTTGATCAATTGATCAAACACATTCTCATGTTTTTTCTGCAGCATAGAGACATGAAGATAAATAAGCATATAGAATTATGAGTTAACCAACAAAAAATGAGGTAACAAGCATATAAAACAAAAATAGAGATAGTAACAGAATCAGTCTACTCAGATATGGTGTAGCCTCTTTTCTGTCATGCACGTGTATGCAACAACGGAGAAATAAAAGCAATGAAGTAATGGGTGTAGAGTATTGGCCGTGCCATGTTATAATCCCATCGAATATAAGATACGTTTGGTCAATAAGAGTCCAGTCATGTGTTCACTCATTTCAACGGATTAATCCAACAGTCCTGGTCAACACTAGCAGTCCCAACAAAGCTTCACTCACTTAGGCCATCGTATTCCAATTCAAAATACTCGCCCTGTTTCCTGCAGGTTAGAGACCTAACACCACATCGCTCCTGTAATTTCCACTGTAGCCATCCCAAGTCTGATCAACAACTTTTCCCCGCAAAAAAAAAAAAGAAAAAAAATCTAATGAACAAAATACTCCTTCCAAGGTAGCACAAGAACGCATCTGAGACCCTGAACCCCTAATCCATATACTCCATAACTCCCCTTGCTGCTTCTCTCGAAGGGGAGACAAACCTTTGCAAGGCACAACAAAAACGGTAGAGATGCGGTTCCCTAGCGAAGATTCGACCAAAATTTTTTTAAAAAAAAATTGCAGGAAATTTCGGGTTTAGGGTTTACGCGGAAAGGGGAAGAGGTGCAAGCATGGGAGGAAGTGTACCCTGATTTTCGCCGGCCGAGGCATGGGGGGCAGGCAGAGGTCGCGGCGGTGGCGGGGATCGGCGACGAGCTCAAGGCCGTAGGCGAGGCTGCAATGGCGGAGGGGAGGGAGTCGGCGGAGGAAGGAGGCGAGGTGAGGTCGGAGCAGAAGAAGAGGATTTGGGGGATGTCCGTACCTACCTATCATGGGAAGGAGGAGAACAAGGCCCAGTCCGCCCCGGCCCAGACGAATCCCAAATATTAGGTCAGGAGAGATGGAGTTGGACTCCTAATTCGCGCGTAGTAATAAGTCCATTTTACCTCCCTCATCTCTTTTACTTGCGTGAATAACATCCCTCAATCGGAAAACTGGGTATAACGCCTCCTTCTTCTCTGAAAACCAGAGCAAATCACTTCCCTCGGCGGTTTCGGAGACGGTTTTATCCTACGTGGTACTTACGTGGCGGGTTGACTTCCCATATGGCATCGATGTGGCGCTTACGTGGCACTAAATTAAAAACAAATGTAAATGGGACCCACATGTCAGTGAGTAAAACAATAAAATAAATAATTGAGCCCACAGGTCAGTTACCTTTCTCCTTCCTCTTTATCCTCACGAGGCACGGCGAGCGAGATGGAGAGAGCTCCGTGAGCCCAGCGACGGCGGGGCGGTGGGACTGCGGGAGTGGCGGGGCGGCGAGACCGTGGGAGCGGCGGGAGCCCAGCGGGGTGGCGGGAGCGGCGAAGCGACGGGAGCTCGGCGGAGTGGCGGGATGGCGGGAGCAGCGAGAGAGAGAGAGAGCAGAGGTGAGGAAGCCTCGCCGCCTCCTCTCCTCCCTCCCTGTCGCTGCCTCCCCTCCCACGCCCCTCCTCCGCCGCCTCATCCCTAATCAATTATTATCATTCGCGGCCAGTTCAATCTCATGTCCGATTGAAGGACAAGTTGGCACCATTTCCTCTCGAGCTGTTCGTCGTTGTACCAGCCAGTGGCGAGAAATCACAGTTGCATTTGCATCAATCAATCACAAGCTAGCCGAGCGTGGCGATGGCGATGAAGAGGGGAGTCACGGCGGCGCTGTGTGGCTGGTCAACGGCGTGCTGCTGCACGCCGCGTTGGTCGCCGACGCGCAGACGCTGGTGTACAAGTACTACGCCCAGAAGTGCCCCGCCGCCGAGTCCATCGTGTTCGACGAGGTCCAGAAGGCGTGGAACGCCCACCGGAGCATGCCGGCCAGCCTCCTCCGCCTCCACTTCTTCCACGACTGCTTCGTCAACGGCGGGACCGCGGGATGACGGGGCGGCAGGGGTGGCAAAGCGACGGGAGCTCAGCGGAGTGGCGGAACGGCGGGAGCAAAGAGAGCAGAGGTGAGGAAGCCTCCTCCTCTCCTCCCTCCCCGTCGCTGCCTCCCCTCCCACGCTCCTCCTCCGCCGCTTCATCCCTATCCTCGCCTCCTCGACCTCGCCGCCACCTCTTCTTCTCCCTCCCCACTGGTGGACGTTGGTCGGCGGGGGCGTTGGTCGGCGGGTGGGGCGTTGGTCGGCGGCACATGTCCCCAGTGTCCCCGAGCATCCCGCCGGTCCACCGGGCTCCCGCCGCTCCCGCGGTCCCGCCGAGCTCCCACTGTCCCACCGCTCCCGCCGTCCTGCCGCCGCCGGGCTCACGGAGCTCTCTCCATCTCGCTCGCCATGAGGATAAAGAGGAAGGAGAAAGGTGACTGGCATGTGGGCCCAATAATTTATTTTATTGTTTAACTCACTGACATGTGGGGCCCATTTACATTTGTTTTTATTTTAGTGCCACATAAGCGCTACATGGAAGTCAACCCGCCACGTAAGTGCCACGTAGGACAAAACCGCCTCCGAAACCGCTGAGGGAGGTGATTTGCTCTGGTTTTTACAGAAGAAGGAGGCGTTATACCGGTTTTCTGGTTGAGTTATGTTATTCACACAAGCGCAAGAGATGAGGGAGGCAAAATGGACTTATTGCTTCGCGCGTACGTGCCCCGGGCGCGCACTTCGGCCCACACGGCCCACAACGTACGCGTGGTGCCGCCGCGCTGTTAGATCGAGAATTTTTTTTATAACGCGTTTAACGTTTGTTAGTTAAGAATAATGACAGTAATTAAGGAAATATTTTTCTTTTTTTTTGAGATATTTTTACTAATAGATTGAAAATTTTTAAGTTACATTTGAAAACTTTGGAGTTAAGATTTAAACTTTGAAGTTAAATTTTGAAAACTTTCAACTCAAGATTTGAATACTTTCAACTCAAATTTAAAATATTTGACTCAAGATTTGAAAACTTTCAACTCGAGATTTAAAAGTTTTTTACTCATATTTGAAAACTTTCTACTCAGTTTTGAAACTTTCAACTCGACATTTGAAAACTTTTAACTCAAATTTTAAAAATTTTCAACTCAAAATTGAAAACTTTTCATATTAAAATCGAAAACTTTTCAACTCATATTTGAAAACTTTCAAGTCTATATTTTGGAAACTTTCAAATCGTATTTTCAAAATTTTTAAGTCAATATTTGAAAATTTTTAACTCAAACTTTCAAAATCAATTGTTTTTATTTTTATTGAGAAATTACTGTAGCATTTCGCTAATCACCATTGCTGTAGCACCACACGTGCTGTTTTGTTTCAAGAAAAGCGCTAAGCGCTACTACTGAGGCGGAGGCCCGCGTGCTCGCTGACTTAACGTCCTCGCGTGTGCGCGCGAGTTATCCACCCCGAGATGGAGACCGCGCGCCGTCGGGGGAGGGGCGAACAACGCTGCAGCGCTAGGAGCATTGGCGTCGGGAGAGACCGAGAATCGGTGCAGTGGGTATTAGGTTAGGGTTTTCATGGGCTTAATGGCCCATGTGATGTTTTGTGATGGTTGGCACAATAATTAGAAGTCTAGTTGGAGCTCCGCGGGTGAAATACCTCCCCCGTCTCCTCACCCGCCCAATTGCGGGGCCCCGTCCCTGACTCCCTGCGGGGCATAAACTTCACCTGGCCCCACGGGGGAAATTGCCACCCCTACTTCAGCGTTTTTTTTTTTGCCTGTTCAAGGCAATTTTTAGAAGAAAATTTATCGACAAACATTTGGGAGTAATTATTAATTCTTTTCCTATTATTTGATTCATTGTCGACAAATTTTCTTCTAAAAATTTGACAGATATAACTACACTACAATCCTAGTGTAATTACAATGTAACTTGCATGTAACTTTCACATAATTTTGAACCATTAGATTTGTTTCAAGATTTGTGCAAGTTAAGAAGAAAAAAAGTCACTGCGCGCACATATGTGAGAGGATTCATTCCCACAACCTCTGTTTCACCGAAATAGCATGTTATGAAGATATTTTTGAAAGTTACATACAAGTTACATGTAAGTTATAGTGTAATTACATTATGATTGTACTATATTTACATCACGATTGTACTATAATTACATCTGTTAATTTTTTAGAAGAAAATTTGTGGACAAATGTATAGGTGATCCCGTTCGAGGAGTTTAAGAGCATGTACAATAGCAGACTATAAGCGAGCTATAAACATATTTTAAGGAGATAAAAGAGGAGAGAGAAGAGTAGCGGGCTACAGGTTTATAGCTAGCACAGCCTCCAAGACACAATGTGTATATGACAGGTGGGATTAGGTATTAATAGTGTAGTATATTTTTGTAGGTAACTATTGTATGAATTGGCTATTAAATTGTCTATGATTTGGAGCTAGTAGTTGGCTATATACTATTAAACTTGCTCTAAGATTACAAGAAGCAAACTGGTTGGTAGCTCCGTTTCTCAGACTTCTAGTTCAGTTTTTAGATTTTATAAATACATCTTCTCAGAATCTGGACCAAAAGTTAGACAGTTTGGGCGAGAGTTCTGATTTTGAGAGAAGCTAAAAGCTCTCTCAAACAGGCTCTTTACATCGTCCACTAGGGATCACCACTTAAGCACCAATTCCTTAAGAAAGGAATATTGACTCATCTGTATTCCTAATCCATAGAACCAGGTATATTGACTCATCTATTATGTTTTTCAGAATGGGCTTTATATGATTGAAGCACAGGTCAAAATGGATAATCGTTCGCAGCTTCCAAACAACTTTGAATGATGCCCATGCCCTTTCTATATGAATAATTCCAAACAACTATTAGACTTCGATGTTTAGTAGATCAAACATGGACATGTGTTTCAGAAACTATATACTCCCTCCGTTTCAAAATGTTTGACACCGTTGACTTTTTAGCACATGTTTGACCATTCGTCTTATTCAAAAAATTTAAGTAATTATTAATTCTTTTCTTACCATTTGATTCATTGTTAAATATATTTTTATGTAGGCATATAATTTTACATATTTCACAAAAGTTTTTGAATAAGACGAACGGTTAAACATGTGCTAAAAAGTCAACGGTGTCAAACATTTTGAAACGGAGGGAGTATGTTTTTGTTTCGGACATTCAGATGTGTTTCTACATAATTGGGAACATTGCTGGTATCTTTGTGCGATTATAAATGAATTGATTCACATATAATTAGTTGACCAATGTTTACCAATCGCTTTGACTTATATTTGTATATTATAATAGGATAGGAAATTATTCTCTAGTCTATAGTTTATTGCCATGAAAAGTATGTGTGGCAATACCATAGCAATGTACATAAAGTGCTCGCGACAATAGACTATTACTTCAAAAAATGTGCGTGTGACAATAACGTATTGCAATGGATAGTTGTGCATTGCAAAATCTTATCACCATACAGCACAAGCCATATTGCAATACATGTTTTTTTGCAACATTATTAGTTGTTCTCATAGCATGGTGAAATCGTTGCAATATCACCTTTTTATGCGACGGGGTCAAAATTTGTTGCAATAGCCCTATTACCACGGGTTTTATTGCATCGGTTGCAAACGAATTCGATTTATATTGCAACGAATTTAAGCCTATTGCACTAGTATTTTTTGTTACCATAGGCTTTGGTTTATTTTGCAGAAAGTAAGTTTGCAAGTATTTCAGAAGTCCTATTATCTAGAAGTAGCATTTTTCTATTATCTAGTAGTAGTATTTTGGACTAGAATAAAAGAAGAATTCAAATTGTCATGAAAAAGTTGATATGTAATTAAAAATGTTATGAGAACAATTTTCACTTACATCTTAACTAACTAAAAGATTCGTAATTTTCCTATCGTCACAGTTCGTTTCGTCCGTCTGCGCGATTTTTCC